TCCGCCGAAACCGAACCGCTTGATGCGGAAAGTCCCGAAAATTTTTTCAAGAGACTAGGAAAACTCAAAGAGTGTTTTGACCTAGCCCGTGTCAACCTGTCCCGAGCTTTTACCTCGCAGGCTCATTACTACAATCTGCGTCGACGAGACTGGAGGTGCACTATTGGTGATCTAGTGATGAAGCGCGAATATACGTTGTCATCAGCCGTAGATCATGTGGCTGCCAAATTAGCTCCGAAATACTCCGGCCCGTACACCGTTGTCAAAGTCGTGTCTCCCGTCGTCTACAACCTCAAAGATACTGCAGGAAAGAGACTCAATCAGGTGCACATAAAAGACCTGGGGTGCGTTCATAGTTATCAACCATAATTATTTGTCTTTTCCCGGTTAATTAACTGTGGATCGCACGGAGAATGTTCCACGTTCACAATTATCAACTTGAAAGTGAGAGATGACCTAAGACCTAACCTTTACAAATGTCAAATGTCTAATCAAAATATCAAATGTTTTTGTTCACAAAAGAAATGAAATGGATCCGGTTGTAGCGAATCATTTTTTATTTGAAAGTTATGATGAAAGTGAGGAGTCAGACAGTGATATAGAGACTGTTGCTGTCATGGTTGAGATAGTTGGGAGTATAGCTAATGCTGTAACCAGCAAGATTAAAAGAAAAATTCACACGTACAAAGGTTTCAATATGTTACACAGCTCCGGCAACTCATTGGTTATGGGTGAGCTGGGTCGTAGATCAGACAAAACACTATCAATTCGTAGACATGTAATCATTATCACAATAGTTACCCAGTTTTGGTTCTAGAGTTATTTTAGAGTTATTGATTTAGGCGCCACTGGGGGCAAAATAAGAAATTTACTCTAATACCAACTCTAGGTCACTTCCCCCCAGCAAAGATACTGTGAAGATCAATCCCCTACCTAATATGGCTGTAACCATAAATATTCAAATATATGTGTACACTTATGCCAAAGCCTGGGACTTTGTATTGATGAGAAATAAAATGCGTTACTTTTCTGAACGTTTTTAATTGTGACGAATGACAATAATCTTGCTCCAGTGAGCTAATCCACTAGGAGTCAATGCCAGACGGAAACCACTTTGTGACCGGCAAACCCCGGCAGTACGTCCCAAGGGTTGTGGTTGTTCCTCTAACACTGATGTCCATCGACGTCCGGATCCAATTGGTGTCAGCAGGAACCCCCCCCCAACCTGTATACCAAGGTATGCAAGTCACAAGAGTTTCCTTCTGACATCCACTCATATTGGATGGAGTAAAGTTATAATCTATAGGTATATCGATATTTTTTAAAGTTACTTTTAACAATGCGGTTTAATATTAAATTAAATACTTAGCGGTTTATGGTAAAATACCTAGGGCTCGTTACCGTTGCCCTCTGTGCACAGAAGCCAGAGATTTACAATTTTGTAAATCAAAACAGAAGTATGAGGTTAAATTTGGAAAAATAGTTCTAAAGTTTATATAAAAAAAATCAATAATTAAGGTTTTTATAATACTCAAGTTCTGGTCATTCAGTCACAATTAACTGGTCTCATGATCTCGTCACCACCGCCTTAGGCTAGAGCCAGGTTGGTACCTGCTCTACATTTCTGACCAGTTTTCCACCGATCCATCGTGTCTCGTAATATGTTTTTAATTAGGTGATAGCCAAGCTATACACCTCTCCTCCGCGGAATTTGCTCTATTCAATTTCTACTTGTATTCTATATTTTGAACTTTATATTTTGTATTCTATATTCTGAATTAGCCGGCTTATTGTGTTATTTTCACAATGTGAAAAGAAAGTTGTATCAAAGCGTTTATATTTTCTAACTTCCCTAAGCCAAAGTCGCTGCTAATTAATTAAATACCTTCTAGGGCTTGTCAGCTTCACAAGACAAAATGGCCAAGAACCAGAAACCGTTGCACCTGTCCTGTTTCGCCAATTGCGCCTGTCCTGTTTCGCCAATTGCGCATGAGCCGTCATACAATTTGATAAAACAAAAGGTCTCTTAATTTCCTGATTTTTAAAGCGGGAAATTCAAATATTCTCTACAGTACACCTATCTATAATAGAATTAAATTGACTTTATAATAATGACCATATTTCTTATGATTTTAACTTTACTCCTTAAATAATAACCAAATGACGTTTTCTTAAAAAACACTGTTTTGAATTTGAAATATAAGTCAACGCGTTGGTGACTGTAACCAAGGCCTCGAAACGACAGAACAGGCTTTTCTCAACTACCCTTTGCAGAGTAGACCAAATGATTCTAAGTTTTGACAATAAAAACTTAACCTAACTATTGTAAATACTAAATGATTTGATATTGTCCTAGAATTAAATAAAATAACTAATGTTGCGAATTTAAATGAGTGAAATAAGTGGCGTGGTTGTAGTTGGAGAACCAGGATAAGACCTGTGATGTGATATTACGGATAAACGTTTAAAATATTACATTAAGGTGAGTTTATTTAAATAAAATTGTGACATGATTGAAATAGAATGGTACAAAGAAGCAGCATTGTAGAGGAAACAGAAAACTGCTCGGAGAAGGAGTTTCAAGAGGACTTTCGAATGACTCAGCAAGCATTTAATTGGCTTCTAGCTCAAATAAAAAATAAACTCGCAAACTTAGGTGTTGGACCTAGTACTATTTTGCCAAAAAAGCAACTACTGGCAACTATTTGGATCTTGGCTACACCAGATAGCTATAAGTAAGGCCTAGTTATAAATTAAAAATGATCCCACTTGCCATTCTGGTTTTCACTGAAAGTATTTTTAGGTATGTAGCTAAGAAATTTGGGATGTCAAGATCAATACTTCATAAATGTGTTAGGAGAGTTATTGAACAAATAACCCCATTGACAACACAACTAATATGTTGGCCCTCTAGAGAAGAAAGGGAAGCAATTAAGAGGCAAACCATACCTTTCGGTAACATACCAGGAGTTGTGGGTGCAATAGATGGCATTTTTGTACCTATAAGAGCTCCATCTGAAAATGCACAAGCATACAACAATAGAAAGTGTTTTCACTCGATCACTCTGCAAGCTATTTGCGATAGCAAAAGAAGATTTCGGGATATTTTTATAGGCTATCCAAGTGATGCACGCATTTTTAGAAATTCTGATTTTTTAAGGCTGCTGTTAACAACATGCATGATTTTTTCAGTGAAAATGATGTTATTTTGGGTGATAAGGCTTACCCTCCACTAAGATGGTGTATTCCACCTTCCATTGATAGAGGAAATTTACAGAGAAGAGAAAGAAACTTTAACACACAGCATGCCAAAACTCGCCAAATCATTGAAAGGGCATTTGCACTACTCTTCGGTCGATTTAGACGACTTAAATATTTGGATATGAGTAGAGTGGATCATATACCAGAGGTAATACTCGCCAAATCATTGAAAGGGCATTTGCACTACTCTTCGGTCGATTTAGACGACTTAAATATTTGGATATGAGTAGAGTGGATCATATACCAGAGGTAATACTAGCATGTTGCGTGCTTCACAATGTTTGTCTTATGTTTCCACATGAGATGCTGCAAAATTATGAAGTTGATGGACAAGCATTTATAAACGAGGATGAAGAACATGACAATGTTGTTGAAGCAATGGATGATATAAGAAGAGATGGTCTACATCTTAGAGATGAAATTGCGGATTTATTAAATTGAATCATTTGCTTTGTTAGTGCTTTTGGAATATTTTTTTTTGTCATTTAAATAATATGGTAACCTACATATTAGCTTAATAAATAACTTTGATTATTTAGGGGTGTATTCATAGTCATTCCTTGGTTTCCTCCTTCCTTTATTATTTCAGATAATTTGTTAACCACTAAGGAACTACTTGTAATCATCAAAATTAATTACCACATCAATTTTTTATTTTATTTTAAAATACAGATGGTATACATATGTAAAAACCATTAGTGATTATTGATTAATCTACATATTGCTGAAAAAAAAAATAATTCTGCTCTTAGTTTACGGAATTATGAAAGACGCTGAGACATGTCGATTTTTATTCTTAATTTGCTAATTTTTAGTGTGAAAATGTTACACCCTCCCTTCAACCCCTCTGAATTATGACCACGTCCCCGAAAATTTTAAATAAGAAAGGGGTCGTGTGGCACCTTGTTTGAAAGGTCTTTGCAAGCCCTTTACATCCATATTTTATTTTTTTTTTAATTTGGATAATTAATAACAAAGTTGCAAGGGGAAGAAAAATACATTTTTTTTTAATTTGGGTGGCTGTATCAAACTGTTGAAAATCGAGAAATACAGTTTCCATGTCCCTATCCTATCTTTTCAGGTTCTATGCTGTGGCACGAAAAAATATCTGATTAGGGTGGTCAAAAATAAGTGGTTTTCGATCACTCTGTATTAATTTTTTTATATACCACAGCAAAAAACCTGAAAAGTTAGGCTAAGGTTATGAAAGCCGTATTTTTCGATTTTCAACAATTTGTCTGTAACAGCCACCCACATTAAAAAAAATGTATTTTTCTTCCCCTTGTAACTTTGTTATTAACGATCCAAATTAAAAATAAGAAAATATGGATGTAAAGGGCTTGCAAAGGCCTTTCAAACAAGTTGTCACACGACCCCCTTTCTTATTTTAAATGTTCGGGGGTGTAGTCATAATTCAGAGGGGTTGAAAGGAGGGTATATTATTTTGACACTAAAAATTGACAAATTAAGAATAAAATTCGACGTGTCTCAGCGTTTTTCATAATTCCGTAAAATTAGGGCAGATATAATTTTATTCCGTAAGTGGTTTTCACACAGCATAAAAACAAAACGCATTCTTTGAATTTAAACAAACATAAAAACTTAAAACTAAGAGAACTTTTGGATTGTTATTACTAACAAAAGTAAAGAAAGAAATAGCAATTGTTTATCAATAAAATTAAATAACAAAGAGTGAACTAAGGTCTATTTAATTGCAGCAACAATTTGTTTATCTCTTGCTATTTATTTTCTTTTTCCTTCATAAACTGAATATATTCCTTAAAGGCAGCTGTTGACTCTTCTGTCTGCCTGAGATTTTCTGCATGCCTTCTTTCACGTTCTACCTCTCGACTATTTAAGTCCTGTCTTAATTGAGTTAACACCTCAGTCATTTTTTCGACATGGTTACCAAGTTTCTTTTCTTTTGGATTTGAAGATTCTGAAGCTTTTGGTATAGGATTTTCTGCAGGCAAAACCTCAACTTCTGTCTCCGTTTTAGCAGGGGCTACACGTTGGTTTGTATTGTCACTCAGTTTCCTTTTTTCAAAGATGAGGCTGTTGATATTGGTTCAACATTTGGATCCTTTCCAAATAAGTCGTTAAATTGGTCAAAATATTAAAATATACATTTATCGTCGCCACTAGCTTTATCAGACATATTTTCAATTTTTTTTATGAATCGGGCCTTAAGGTATTTAAATTTATTTTTAACTTGTTCAGTAGTAAATCCTGGTAATTTATCAGAAATCATTTTCCAAATTTTTTCATGCCTGATTGTTTGGCCTTTAAATAAAGAAGAATGTTCTTTATATGTATCAAACAGTTTTAAAATATTGTTGTTTGACCATGAAATCCTTGATCTATCGCCATCCTGCAAAAAAATATAATAAGGTTAGGTTAGTTATTCAGTTTTGTCATCAGGTTCTATGAAAACTTTTAAATAACTGTATTCTAAAGCCTTGATAAATATTCCAAGCCTAAGACCTAGTTGCGTATATATGAATAGATAAAGTTTGTTTAATATACCTTTGTAGCTGACGCCTCAGGTACTTGATTGAGTATATCTTTTGATGGTACAGGTCGGACAGTTGATGTGGCCATCTTAGGTACTTCATTGGATACAAATTGAACTGCAGGTATTCCAAATACTTTCTGTACAACTTCAATTGGGCAGTACTGCAAGGTATTATCTAAAAATTGGTATCATATATCATTGTGCATAAATATGTGTGTAAATTTATAGACTAGTAGACTGTTAAATACTACTCAACATAGAATGGTGATCTATCTTTGATAAATACTACCACTAAAAGAATGGTAACTATGAATAATTTTACTTATTTTTAGGCCTTGCTTGCTTAAAGCCGGATTCAGAGTTCCGTAATAATTATTACGTCTTCAATTAATTATCTTGTTCTTACGTTGCCGAACTCACCTTCAATTCTGTTTAATAATATATACTTCCCATCATCTGAGATGATGGGCATCTGGGTATCTCCATCCACAACGAGATCGTGGGAATGAGTAGATATGATGAACTCCATTTTCCATTAAACAAAACCCAACAAACAAAAAATTAGAAAACCGAAAATCACACCTCGAGTCTCCTGTACCGAACAGAAAACACCTGTGGTCCTGTGCCGTTGCCGTAAATACAACCAGAAAAAAAGGGTTATGTGTAAGTATGCACAATGCACAGACGCGACAAATTTTCACCAACTTTTTAGCAGGGAAAAAAGTTGTTCGCCCGGCAAAAGTTCACCCGAACTGTGAACGAGTACAAGAATTGCCCGGCGATAACTATGAACACCCAATTTAAAGGCAGTATGACGCCGTGCGATCACACGGCGATAACTGTGAACGCACCCCTGAAACCGGCCGTCGCACACTGGGGCAACAAGCCCTCAAATTTGGCAATAAATAAAAAAATTAAATAGCATATACACTATACCTCAAATTTTTTCTGATATATTACTGTCCACTACATAATAAAACGAACAAGTGCGATCTTCTGTCTTGCGCGTTTCATCACCACCCTCAGTCGAAGTTACTTATCTGAGGCGAGTATATATTCATTGTTATTTCGTAGTTTTTAACTTGTTTTTGTGCTGTGTTTAGGCTGTATTTTGATTTTTTTTTTCAAATTTCCGCCACGGAACCTTCAAGTTCAGCTATGTATTATTATTTTAATAAGTAAAAAGTTGTAAAAAAATAAACTTAATCATATAATATTAGGGTTAAGTAAAATGAAGGTTAAACGTTAAAATTTTAAAATATTCTTAAATACAAGAAAGCTATTTGTTGTGTTCCAAAGCAGTCCAAGCTTTAAATTTCGACTTTTCATATTGAATATTGTTTGTACTTTTTAAAATCGTTTAGTTTCTCTGCACTTATTTGCACTTTTCTTCACTATTTGGGTTTTTTCAAAGTATATAAATATATGGCGCGACGATCGTCAAAAACGAATTCTGGTTTTTTAATATATTTCGTTTATTAATCAATCGATTTTATTGTTCTTAGGCTCATTTTATAGGCAACTATATATGCTTCCAGACAGACATAAAAAATGCCAGAAATGTAAAATTTAAGATGGTCGACCTAATTGATGAAAAAAAAGACGAGCCTAAAAGTAACCCATTTTAAGCTCGTTTTGCGTAATAATTATAAATTAAATATAAAATCTAATAACAAAAGTTTAATATCTAACCTATTTTCTTTATTTTAAGACCTCTCCGAGTACGATTGGTCCATTCAATCGTAAGATATAGACAATCAAAGTTGTCTGGTTTTTATGTTTTCATAGAAGCTTATAATAACACATTATTATGCTTTGCAACGCTGCTATTTTAGTTTTTGACCGATTTGGACTCAATGGGTCTGATTTGGTAGGTATGTAAATATACTTTCCGACCATTAAATTAAAATGGCGGAAATTTTAAATTCCAGGATAGCGAACCTAATTGAAATATGACTTGATTTAGAGCTAGTTTATTTTTGGTAGATCTAGGAGCATAATTAGTTATCTATAACATGAGCCTAAGAACAGCAAAATCGGTTTATTATTTAAAAAATGAAAATAAAAACAAAATACACTTTTTTATAGTCCACCCAGTATAAATAAAACATAACACTGTTTTGCACATAACAATTTAATTTATTTTTTATTTTATTTCAGGAACGAGGTTGAACACTATATTTTTATCAAGATAGGAACTTCTTAATATCATGAGAAGTTCTGGAAAGAACGAAATTAATAGAATTTGCTCACAACACCGCTAGATATTTTGTTGAAAAGTACCCACGGTCAATATGCCTCCGACATTGCACAAATACTTTATACATGGGCCTGAAATAATATCTTCTGCTTTGTTGCCTATAGACCAATAACAGAGAAAACTAATGAGGACGTCTTTAATTCGTTTTTACTTAGTTTCGACCTTGTAATCACGAGCAAACGAAAATTAAAAAAGAAAGAGTCCGCAGCACTTTTCTAAAGAAGCAGTACATTTGTTTAAATCTGGACTCGTCCAGCTTCATACCCATGGTATATTCATGACACTGATGATGACCGTGGAGACGATAAAGAAAATGTCTTATCACATTCTAAAGAGGATGAAATTTGATTACAATCATCATAGCTTTTCTTACATTTTTATTATCTGTATCTTTAACGTGTGGAGGGTGGATTACCCCCCCGGCACTTGGGCCTCATTAGGCCCATGACATTTTATTATAATTTTTGTTAGTATTACAAAAGAAAATACATAGAGGGCTTATAAAGTGTTTATTTGCTAAAAAAATAGATATTAAGAATAGAATATACATTTTTATTATATTATATTCTTAATAACTTTCTATTTTTTTGTTTTTTTAGCAAACAAACACATTATAAGCCCTCTATGTATTTTCATTTGTAATACTAACACCTCTACAAAGCAATATTTAACTTACAAATTCATAGAGAGAGTCTGTGATTTATTGCCAACTTTGATGGCTTGTTGCCACAGTGTGCGTCGAGTCAGCTTAGACACCAACCTCACCCGCCGTCACCACCCCTGTACCGTCTGGAAGGTACCGATCGATTGGAGTACAGGCAGACCTACGTCCACGACGTCGTAATGTCGGCCTTCAATGTTTCCGACAATGGTAGTTCCCAGTCCGACGATATGGTATGGTATGGAAATGGTATGGTTTTGACTCTGGAACCCAAGAAAGAATATTATATTTTGAGTTTGTAAATTTTATTAATAGTTTTGTAATAATTAGGTAGGCGGATAAAGGAAAAATAAAGGCAAACGATGTTCACCTTTATTTTTCTTTCCGAAGTGAATTTCATGTAATGAAGTCAATTTTCTTCAATCAGTTTATTTTTATTTTTCATTTTTAATAAATATTAAACGCGGTTGAACTGTTGGGCCTGGGTCAATTTACATGCGCGAACGCCGCTCGAGATCTCGTTGCGCGGTGGGTCTGAGCGTAGGTGGGGTTTCTGATGGGAAAGGGAATCAATTGTTTGAACGAGACCCGAGATGCTATTAAAATAATGAGTTCGATATAATTTTTGACTGCCACCAGTCGAGTCTAATAAGCCGCACTAGAAATCAAATCACCGCCGATATTTTTTTCTTTTTCTCGTATCTACAAATCCGTTAGTTAAAAAACCTTGTTCCGCTTTTTACGTTTTATATTGAGACCGTATTTCACTTTAAAAACCGAATTAACTTGTAGGAATAGAAACATTTTCATTCAGTGTTTAGTTAAAAGATTCAATTTGATTTCCTTAATAAATAATAGAATTTGTTTCTTAACAAATCATACCGTTTTTTTTTTATAACTACTGTTGAGTTAAAAGATTTTAAATTTGACTTCATTAATAAATATTAGAATTTGTTTCTTGGCAGGAATAATACTTTTTTTAAAGAATGACTTTAATTTGAAGTCATTAATAAATATTAGAATTTATTTCTTAGCAAATATAATACCGTTTCTTTAAAAAGAAATAGAATTTGAATTAAATAATAAATGATAGGATTTAATTCTGTAATATTGTAAAACCGGGGATTTTAGACTTTTGATCATTAGTTTGTATTAAGAAATTATTTTTTTTTCTTTTTGGTAGGTTAAATCGAGAACTAAATTTGATTTTATTGATAAATACTTTTGTTTAGTAAGTGCCGCGTTGTAATTAAGTTGGAAATATTTATTAACGGAGTTTTCGAGGAGACGTTTTCCCTCTTTTAATAGTTTGTTTATTCCTTTACCGTATATTTGAATAATCTTAAATAGCATCCTGTCCTTGTCTGAACGGGCTCGTGATGACGATCAGTTCACACTCTTGGAGTAGGTGCTATCCGCGTTATAATTTTTTTTAGTTAATCTGTAAACCGCAAATTTAAATAATTTTTAATAGTATCCTGTCCTGTTTGAACGGGCTCGTGATGACGATCAGTTCACTCTTGAAGTAGGTACTATCCGCGTTAGTAAGTTTCTTCCCTCCAATAATAGTTTATTTTTTTCTTTTACCGTCAATTTAAATAACTTTAAATAGTATCCTGTCCCTGTCTGAACGGGCTCGTGATGACGACCAGTTCATTCTTGGACTAGGTGCTATCCGCGTTAGTTTTCTTTTCCCCTTTATATTCTTCATTTTTTTTTTCGTGCAAACTGCAACTTGCAGAAATCAAAAACAAAAATAGCTTCATTACCCTGTCTGAGCGGGCTCGTGATGACGATCAGCTCATTCTGGGACAATAGGCTACCCCGGGTATAAATTTATTTTTATCTTCTTTCCGTATATTTTCTATAAGTAATTATTTCGCGTCCCTGTCTCCTCGCACTCTCTTTGACCGTTTAGTAGAACACCTACATTTTAGTTTAATTCCCGATACCACAGTTATTACCGAGTAAATAGCCAAGTTAATAATTTTTTTTTCTCTGCGACCGAAACATATATTTTATTTTAATTCAATTTTGACGTCTGATTGAGACTAGTCGCGAGTCGATACAGTCCATTTTGTTTTTTTTATTCAGGGTTATATTGACTATCACCACAACTGGGGTGGGAGTTGAAATATTTAATTTCTTTTTTTGTTTTAAATAGTTATTTACAATATATGTGCCAATGTTAACCTGCCGTATTACTGGTTAATAATTCCCTACTTTATTTTCCCCTTATATTTCAGCTAGTGATAAATTTTTGTACGAGCCCAAGCAACGATTAAAGCCCGTTACTTGTGGCCTACTATTGCCTGTGTTTAAGTGACCTTTGACCCCTGGAATTTTTCATCTCCATCTGTAGCTACCCGAGTACTTTCGACACCGTTTCGAAAGTTTGTGGAGTAAACCATCATCAAAAATCTGACGCTCGAGAACCGCCCGTAACCAGCGTCATTCGTAAGGAACCGTTTTCTCTGTGGCGAGAAAACCCCTTACAAGTTTAAAATTTAATGTTTTTTTCTTTTCCGTTTTTGAGTTTTCTTCAAAGTTCGAAATTTACACATTTTCTCAAATATCTGGAATACGGTCCATTTTAGAGAAATTATGT